TTTTGTCCAACGGGGGTGCCAGCCGAGCCCCCGCCGTTGACGTCACGCATCTCACAGTGCACCGAGCCAAACGTAAACAACGCCACTTGGGCAGTATAGTGAACTTCCATCCATCTATTTTCCGATCCGCTTTATCCTCTCGAGGGGTGCGGTGTGTGCTGGAGCTTATCCCAGCTGTCTTCGGGGAGGGGGCGGGGGACACCCTGAACCGGTTTCCAGCCAATCGCAGGGCACACACAGACGAACAACCATCTGCGCTGACAATCACACCTAGGGACAATTTCGAGTGTTCCATTAACCTGCCATGCATGTTTTTGGAATGTGGGAGAAAACCGGAGAGCCCGGAAAAAACCCAAGCCGGCACAGGGAGAATATGCAAACTCCACACAGGAGCCGAACCCTGCACCTCTGCACTGTGAGGTCGACGCGCTAACCACTGGACTGCCGGGCCGCCACTATAGAGAATTAAATTTTTTTTTGAGGTCTTGAAACACACTTTAGGTTTGGTTGTAACTGTGTCCGAAACCTCCAATGTCACAATTTGGGAATTTCAAGAGTTTTGACAAATCTGTATTAAAAAAAAGAAAAAGAGATAAGAGGATTCGGCCCAATGCCAGCGTTATGAAAGACAAATGCAGGATTTTTATATATGCTGTACATCAGTGAGTTAAAAGTTTAGCCGGATTGAATCCATTGATGGTACTTAAAATGGATACACTTTGACCCTGTCTAGGTTTCTGTACTCTGATGAAGTTCAGATTGGGCCAGAGACCGTGATGACCACACTATATACTGCCAAAAAGTACGCTGTCCCAGCCCTGGAGGCACACTGCGTGGAGTTTCTCAAGAAGAACCTGAGAGCTGACAATGCTTTTATGCTTCTCACACAGGTCAGACACACCGATCATATGAAACAGATTTTAAATTTTCATGTAAAAGTAAAGATTTGTGCTTGCATTGTCCAATTCCTGTTGTTACATGTAGTGGGAAAAAACACCTTCTCGGCAGCTTTTGCAATCCAATTCATTTTATCGAAAATGTCACGTGCGCGCTGTTACATGCGCTGTTGTTTGTCGCGCCTCGTCCACAATAAAGCTGTCCCATCCAATTCATTTTATCGAAAATGTCACGTGCGCGCGGTTACATGCGCTGTTGTCGTCGCGCCTCGTCCACGATAAAGCTGTCCTGACAGCTGGACCCAATTTACTTTTTGGTTAACTTGGCGAGCAGCTCAAATTAAATTGACTTGGTCATTATGGACACGCTTTTTGCGGAGCAAGGTGGCGCATTCCAAAGCAAAGTGCGTTACAGCAATCCATCCAAGATGGGATGAAGGCATGGAATAGGTGGAGGTGTACCTTAAATTACGGCTCATGCGCGTACATTCTTGTGTTCTTGTTTCAGGCACGCCTGTTTGATGAGCCTCAGCTTGCCAGCCTCTGTCTAGAAAACATTGATAAGAACACGGGGGATGCTCTCGCTGCCGAAGGCTTCACAGACGTTGACCTCGGTAATTCTCCCGCTTGCCTTTTCATTTTCACATTCGCATCTGATGACGAGTTTATCTCCTTTTAGATACGCTGGTCGCCGTGTTGGAGAGGGACACTTTGGGTGTGCGGGAGGTACGTTTGTTTGGCGCTGCAGTGCGTTGGGCGGAAGCGGAGGCCCACCGGCAGCAATTGCAGCCCACCCCGGAGAACAAGCGCAAAGTGCTGGGCAAGGCGCTCACACTTATCCGCTTCCCTCTCATGACCATTGAAGAGTTTGCCGCAGGTGAATTGACACGTAGCAAAAACTCCCCTCTTAGTACACTTTACCGATTCCTTAAAAGCGCACAGGCGAAACGGCATTCACCCGTCCGCGTATTTTGCTTCATCAGGACCGGCGCAGTCCAGCATACTGACTGATCGAGAGGTGGTGAGTCTCTTCCTCCACTTCACAGTGAACCCTAA